GTTTCGTTTCACTTTCAAATCCCCACAGACAGTCAGTGAGCATCGGGAATTCCCCGTCAGCATTTCTGCATCATTATTATTCGCACAGAATCCGTAAACCGACATTATTTTAACGCCGAAATCTCTGCAGCTGTCTGAGCCGAGATGATATCGTACTCGCACCCATATTCTTGATTTTATTTTTCCTTTCTCCCAGGTAAGGTACACGTGTCAAACTAATTTCACATTTTGTTGCCTTTTATTCGCCAGCGCATTTGTGTCACCTGCACCGTTCCCCCCTCGCTTCACCCTCCTCCTCCGCCACAGTGCTGGTGGCACATTGAAATTCATAAAATATTTGCTCAGCGAAATAGGCTACGAAGGCTGAGGCTGGGGCTTTGAGGCTGAGGCTGAGGCTCTAGCTACGGGCGGAGTGTTATGTGTCAAGCACGTTTGAATTCAAATTCAAATATTTGCCACAGTCGACAAACAAATAAGCGCAAATATGGTAAACAGCAATAAGCAGCTATGTGAAAGCGTAGCGAGCTGAAGTGAACTCGTGTACTGCGGATTTGTGTCCCGCTTTCGAGCCATGAAAAATCTTTAGCACCAGAATGCGAACACGAATATAATGCTGTCACCTTGGGAGTCATCTGAGCTGTTTGTTGTCTCAACGTATCTTTTGGTGTCTTAATTTCATGCACATTGGTATATATTCAATGGCCAGCAGACACCTGCAAGGAGCAGGATTTCTCATCCTCTTTATCGTATATTAAATGAAAAACAAAACCAAAAACAACACTAAAAAAAACACAAAAATCGGGTTAAGAGCTTGACTTGTCCTTGGCCTCAAAACAAGGAGAACAATCGATAGCAAAAGCGGGCAGGCAGTACCTAAGTCGGCTTATCCCGTCTCCGTAAATTGTCTCAGACTTGTAAACTCAAAATGGCCTGTAAACTGTGTAATTATGAACATTTAAAATTTAATTTACAAGACATTAAATTAAATCAGTTTTAAAGGAGGAAAGGAAACTCTAGGACTTTAGGAAGCATAAGATATAACATAGTTATCAAGAAACAATATTCACTAACAACTTTAGCATTTAAAATACAACATTTTGTTTCAACAAACAATTGTTAACTGGCAGTTTGACAGCTCTACCAACCAAGATATCTCGAATTTCTTGAAATATAAATAATAAACCTTAAATTTTGAGATGCTCAAGGTAAGAGATTCAATGCCTTGAAGGAAGTCTGAACAAATGGGCCGGAGAAAGTAACAATGAGGCCATCGACATTGGCTTGTCAATGAATCGATTATGATTTGTGGCAAAAGTATAGCATACTTACATGCGCCGCCTACACAACTTTTCGGTGGCAGGGCATATATTTCAGCGCGAATTTGCACATTTCGCAGTGCCAAAGAATGCGCCGAGGGACAATAAATCTTCGATTGTTTGCCCCAAAGAGACCAAAGGATGTGTGTCCTTGCGGGGGTGGATCTCTCTCTCTCTCTGCTTATGTGTGTGTGTGCCCTCTGCCGACAGCCATTTGGGCCATATCGCAGCCATTTTGGCGGAGCATTTTGCGTTTCGCTCGCCACATTTGCCGGCCTAATTGCGCCGTAGTCTGCCAGCCAGTTGGCAGAACACAAATGCAAACAGAACAGGGTAGAGAGATACAGCTGTCATTACGCTTCAAATCCCACCAAGGCACGACAATTTGTCGCTCCTCCTTTGATAATTGTCCCAGTGACCTTTTGCGATCGAATAACAAGTGAGTTGGCATCCAGCTGGCATCAATGAACTCCTCCGCGCCGCCCGCTTAACCCTGCCAATTAAAGTGAAAAATAGAGCCAAGCACACATTCCACCGAAAATAAGTAGGAATAAGCGAGTTCGGCAATAAATATAGCCATGGCTCCGAAGAAAATATATTTCTAGTTGTCTCGGCCAGTGCGAGGTCCTGCCCGATTTGTGGCTCCGAGTCCTGAGACTGCAGGCGACTTCGACTGGACTCACTCGCTGCCAGGACAAGATAAATGATGTTGCCAAACTAACACACAGTGCCCCTTTGGCCATCTGCCCGTCTGCCCGGCTGGCCGTGTGTTGTTATCACTTAGCTGGCCGTGTTAGCTGCCATTCCGCTGACTTTTTGCAATTGTCTGGCCGGGATTGTCATGACTTTTGACTGGTCCCTGCTTTTTTCGCTTGCTTGGCTTTTTTTATTTTTGCTGCCCTCTGGCAGGACATCTCTCATAATGATTGGGTTGTGAAAAATGCAATTATTTTTGATTGTAGTTTAAGGTGCCATGTTTGCATTGCTCGCCAAATGCCGCACATTTATCACACTTGCCCCGCCCCTCCAGCCCCTTGCCTTTTTGCAAGTCAACATGGAATTTATTGAGCCAGTCTGGGGCAATATATCAGGCGCAGCATTTGTCAGCGAGCGTGGCAATGGCTCTAAACGGAATTGAACTCGGCTCTTATTGATTTTCAACGACAGTCCCCTTCTCATCGCCCTCTCACCCAATGGCAGACTGTGTGTGATGCGTGTTGTAATTTTGGCAATTTTAATGCCATTAAAAGCAGCCTAGCCCCGAAAAAGTTGCAAATGATGTGCGAAGGATGGAAATGTTGGGAGTATTGTTCGTATTTATGCAATTTGTGGCAGCTGCTCGAACAACCGCAGCTACAAGACTCATGTAACACACACTCCTCCTCCGCCGCCTCCTGCCCGAAACAACCACAACAACAATTACAACACAACAAGACTGCTCTGGAATTTTCAATTAAATTGCAAAATCAATTTTCAGCAAATTAGCATATTTATATTTGCATATTTTTAATGGGCTGTGGGTCTGGCGCCGCCCAGGTCACAACAGGTGCGAAAAGGGAAATTGCGCCAAATTAAAATCAGATAACACGGAATGACTTACATTAGAGCGGCACATATGAAAGAAGGTTCAGTCGTCACCCGCATCTGTGCCGGAGGGGCGCGTGTGTGATGTTCAGCCATCAGCATCGGAGTTACAGAGGACGAGAGTTATGCCATCGGTGGGCAACTGAAAGTCGCTCACCGCACACATAAAACCACTTCCTGGAATCTCAGAGTCAGCACTCCTTGCGGCCACGTGCAGGGCACTTGAAGTTGTTGCCAGGGCCTCTGGCAAATCATAACCATATAGAGGCAGCAGCCAGAGCAAGTATTTCGATAATTACATTTAGCAAATGCTGCCAACGATTGGGGAGATCAAGGAGTGGACTGATAATATTTACCAAAACTTTAACAAAAAGTTAAGAGTGAAAAATATTAATATTAAGCTTTATGAGTTACATAAAAAATCAATTTAGCAGTCACTTTATAGTATAATAATTCCTCAGATAACGTTTAATATTTAAATAAGTTAGTAAAAGGTAAGAAAGGAATTTTCTTATATGCAATAATATATATACCCTTTTCAATTATATTTATTTAAACATTTAAAATCTCTAGAAATTTAATTCCATGAATTTTATATTATCTTGCCACCTTGAAACTTTTGTACCTTCCCATGGAAACAATTCCTATTCGCATATACATTTTAATTTATTTATACACCTTTTTACCCCAAAAGAGGCGAAATTGTTTCCCCCAACCTCTGGCACATGTGTGGCCACAATTTTGGTATACAAATTACAAAATTATACAAATCAACGCCGCACAATTGCTTCAATTGAAACCAGACCAGAGGCCTCAGTCCGCCAGCTGCTTAGCTGCTTGAAGTGCCAAGACTGCTACTCCTGCCTCGTCCTTCTCCGCCCCATATTCCCCACATTCCCCATTCCTGTCGCTGACGGTGATGGTGTGGCTGACAGAGATTAGAGTCGCGCCAGACGAACAATCAAAGACAAAGCGCCCTCGACACCTGTGCAGAATTATGAAGCCCATCTCCAGACGGGGATATAGACGCCAAGAGTCGCGGTTGGATCAATCGCTGTGAGTGGTTGCAGGGGGAAGGGGGGTGTATTCTGAGAGGGCGAGGCAATTAAGTCATTACTTCATATACACACAGTACTCTGCGACTGCCACTGCCTCTGCCAAAGGCGTTCGTTCTGCAGGTGTTTTACAAGTGTGCAAACAAAGTGCCACGGTGGTTGCATAAAAACCAGTAAAGCGAATGTAAGTGCTGTGCACAGAGAGAAAAAATCCTCAGCTCCAAGAAATTCAGGTTATTTCGGTATGTCCCTAAAGAGTAAATAAATATTCTTTTAATTTTCAACTTGGATAAATATTAATAAATTTTAAAGATAATAAAAAGAAAACTCTTTTAATGTTATTCTATAATCAACTTTCAATCTGTTACTACTTCTCTTTTTACTTTACAAAGTCTCAACATTTTAATTTAAGAAAAATGCCCTTTAAAGTGTAAGCTCTACTTAAACAAGGACTTAACGAATTTTAAGGACCAACTTTTTTTTCCATGTGTCTGTGTACTGCCTTCGTATGCGTGTTTGTACATTTCCTCGTTTGTTTGCCAGCGCCTGTCTTCCCCGGTCCGCATTTCGTTGTGGTTGCAATAAAGGCATGCAAATTTATGTGCGCCCCCGACCACGCCCCTCTGCCATATTTTTGATAAGCAATTTTCATCGCCCCCATGTCTGAATGTGCGGCAGAGTGTGCGAGTGGTGGTGGTTGAATGAAATTAACAAATCATTTCACTTATGGGCACTGGGGCATCTGCTTCCACTTAGCCCTCAGCATCGCTTTGATGCTAATTTGAATGGGAAATGTGTCATTTCGGGTGATTACAAGGGGATCTTATCAGCACGCAGGCAGCCTCAGCTGTGAAAGGAAAATTAAGGCAATTTTTGTAAATGTCACTGATGAAATACCGAGGGGAATTAAAGTAATATTATCCGTAAACTTGACCTATAGTTTAATATACATACATAACAGTTGAACAGTTACCCCACACAGATAATCGCAATTTACTAATTAAATTTTCAAACTACGTAGGGACACCCTGTGGTAGACTCAGTCATGGGACCAGTGTCCGGGGAACTACACGCAGTTTCACTGCTCGGCATGAATCGCGTTATGAAGTGCATGGTTATGCTTCCGGTGAGCAAACACCTGATCGCCAAGGTGTTTTGCAACGCGGTTCTCTTCACCACTGTGGGGTTTTCCACCAGCTGGCGCTTAAGCTTCGAATATGACCTCGCCTATGACTTTCGCAACGATCCATTTTCCCGCATCATCGATCTGATGAATTTTATAGCTCTGATAACAAGCCACGTCATCATTGTCATGGAACTGGTTTGGCTTAAAAGCGGTGATGACATTAATAGTCAGCTGGAGGAGATTCGCCGTGAGATGAACGTGCTCTTAGGTGTACAGGTCAACCTGCAGCGAGTTCGAGCCTACTGCAATGCCGTTTATGCATCGCTGTTCATCCGCTGCCTGGCCTTCGGACTGGTGACTATCTATGCCAACCGATCCCTTACCTACTATGCCTTCTACTCGGAAATAGTATTGCTGGTGCGCTTCTCCCAGTTTACTCTATTCTCTGCCGTGATTATGGTACTGTACCAGGAGCTGTCTCCGGCCGGCGAAAGTGTCCTGGCGGAACTGGAGTGTTCGCTCTTCGAGTTGAGTTCGGTGCGCCGATCGTCTCTGGAGAAACTGGCCAAGTTGCAGCGGGTCCATGGATTACTTTGGCGGGCTATCCGCTGCCTGGAGCACAATTTCCAGATATGTCTAATCACCATGCTCCTGAAGTTCTTTGTGGACACCTCGGCGCTGCCCTATTGGATCTACCTCAGCAAAGTGCAGCACACAGGTGTGGCTGTCCAAAGCTGTTAGTAAGAGCAGGTTTAATATGATATTAATATAAAACTATAATTATCAGAATAGAAGGAGATGCACTACTCAATAGGACTTTAATGGAAATGGAATCCACTCCAGTTATAAGCCACATTTTTCCAAGTCTGCTAGTTTATAGTTTCTATAAATTACTCATATCTACCAATCGCACTTAGCCAATTAAATAAGTGACCCGGTGCTAGGGACGCCCCAGAGGAGTTTCAGTCATGGGTCAAGTGTCCGGGGAACTACACGCAGTGTCACTGCTGGCCATGAATCGCGTGATGAAGTACATTGTAATTGTGCCGGTCGGCCAGCACCTGATGGCCAAGGTGCTCTGCAACGTGATACTCATCATTGCCGTGGGCCTTTCCTCATTTTTGCGCTTCAGCTTCGACTACGATTTCACCTATGACTTCATAAACGATCACTTCTCGCGCGTGATCGATCTGACCAATTACGTGAGTCTGATAATCAGCCACGTCATCGTCGTAACGCAACTGGTCTGGCGAAATCACTGCGCAGAGATCGATAGCCAGCTAGAGGGAATCTGCCGAGTGATGAATGCGCAACTTGGCAGAAGGATGAATTTGGATCGAGTTCGTGCCTACTGCAATGCCGTTTATGCATCGCTTTTCATCCGCTGCCTGGTTTTCTGCTCGATAAACGTCTACAACAATAAGGCCCTCACCTACTATGCCCTCTACTCGGAAATAGTTTTGCTCATGCGCTTCTCCGAGTTCACTCTGTACTGTGCCGTGATTCTGGCCCTCTACCAGGAGCTGATCCTGGCTGGTTTGAACATCCTGGCGGAGTTGGAGCGTTCGCGATTTGAGCTGTGGTCTGTACGGCGATTATCTCTGGAGAAGTTGGCCAAGTTGCAGCGAATCCACGGATTACTTTGGCGAGCTAACCGTTGTTTGGAACGAAATTTCCAGCTCTGCTTGATCATCCTGCTCATGAAGTTCTTTTTTGACACATCAGCGCTTCCCTATTGGCTTTATCTCAGCAAAAGGGTGCACTCGGATGTATCCATTCAATACTGTTAGTAAGCTCACTAATAACACGTATTTATAATTTTTTTTCTATAGTTCCTATAGTGTCATTTTCATTACGATTATCCGTACACTCCTAAGCGGTTCCTTTCTAGGGGATTTACTCATTAGATTAGATTTATCTTCCCAGGGCGCTTAGCCATTTTAAAGGGTTCGACCGACTGAGGTCGTTTCAGTCATATGAAAAATGACCGGGGAACTTCACGCCGCTTCACTTCTTCGGATAAATCGAGTGATGAAGTGCTTGTGTATCCAGCCGCTGGGAAATCATCTGTTTGGCAGATTGTTTTGCACTCTTGTACTGGCAACGTTTATCGCAGCTCCTGCCTTCTACTACTTTAGTTTTGAGTATAGTTCCGAGTACATCTACCAAGACGAACCGCTTTCGCTGATCTTTGATATGAGCATCTACGGGACCCTGATAACAATACATATCGTCATCGTAATAGAGAGGATTTGGCGTAATTCTCGTCAAGAAGTCGATGGTCAACTGGAGGAAGTACTAATAAGAATTAACGAGCAACTAGGCAAGCAGGTGGACTTGCAGCGTGTTCGTATCTACTGCAATGCCGCCTATGGATCCCTATTCATCCGATGCCTGATTATCGTCATATTCACCATGTTTGCCGAAGAAAAAATCATCTACTATTCCCTCTATTCCGAATTAGTTTTACTGGTGTCCTTCACCGAGTTCACTCTGTACTCTACAGTAATTTTATTCCTCTACCAGGAGCTCACCCTTGCCGGTTCGGTTGTCGTGCAAGAGCTGCATAGGACGAGCTTTGAACTGAGCTCCGTGCGACGGATGACGTTGGATAAATTAAAAAATCTGCAACGTATTCATAGTTTGCTGTGGCAATCGATCAGAAGCCTTGGAGGGTTACTTCACCGAAGCTTGATCACCATGCTCTTGAAATGTTTTTTGGACTCTACGACCATTCCCTTTTGGATCTACCTTAACCATGTTGAACAAACGGACGTGACCGATCAATTTTGTTAGTAATCCAAATTTGTTAAGCTTATTTATAAGAAAAATAGGGAAATGTTAGTTTATATGTACGTAGCTAAAGAACTCTTAGAAAAATATTTGTCTGGTGATTTAAAATAGACATTTTAAAACATTTTGTTTTCACCAAATAAGATTTTTACTTTGTTTTATTAAAAAATTCTTAATTCATTTTCTAATTTTTTCCAAGATTGCGGCATTGACGAGTGTGTAAAGATCCTGGAGGTCGTCGTTCCCTGCTGGATCTGCACTCGCTGCGATGTAATGCAGCGAAGATTCCGCTCGATGTTCTACACTCTCACCAAAGATAGACGCAACAGCCAGCTGAATGCGGCTCTTAACCGGCTGTGCCTGCAATTGGGCCAGGAGAGATGCCAGTTCAGTGCAGGCGGACTGGTGGAAATCAGCACGGAGATGCTGGGAAAGGTTTGTGTTACAATCCGCTACCCTTCTAAGATACTAAATAAATCTGTCTTTCCCACAGTTCTTATTCGGAATGATCAGCTACATTGTGATCTGCATACAGTTTAGTTTGAATCTCACCGCCAGTAACTCCAGTAAAGTGGCCAGCATTCCCACAACGAATGCGCCCCTTTAAATGGTCTCATTTCAATCGAATGTTTTTGGGCAGTCTAGTCGCGTGCTTATTAAATTAAAGTCAATTAACCTAATTAGCAAATTTGATGTCTGCCCGTGCATAATCAAAAAGGGACAGTGGCCAATCAAGGCGGCAGCCAGCAACAGCAGCTGGCCGAAAGTCTTATTCACATAATTATTCATGCTTAAAAATTCTATTATAAACTTTTGCCAGCGACCACTGACCGAGGAGGCTGTGTACGGAGGTCCTTGTGCCCCCCGTGTTTTGGGTTTGTTTTTGCCACGCATGGCCAATCTGTCAGGGCTCTGAGCCAGGCCGTGTGTGTTTCTTATGTACACTTGTAAAATACTTCGCAACGATGTAGGCCTTGGGGACACAATTAATTTTAGATGAATTAACTAAATGAAAATTACAAAGCCTTAAAAAATGTACTTTTCTTGAATACCTTTGTAAAATTTCAAAGTTACATATGTTATATGTGTTATTAAATTATATTGTATGTATTACAATTTTAAACTATATAAACACAGTATTTATTAGTTGATTTTCCAAGTAATCAATTTTTTCGTCTTTATATATTCAACTTAATGGTCCTTTATGACCTTTTTCTAAGCTCTTGTATTGAGTGTTTTTCGGAAACTCCAACTTTTGAGTGTACTGCTTTGGGTGCACGTTTGATGTTTGGGCCGCAGGCGATTGTTGCCACGCACAGATTCGTGGCCAAGTGAGCATGCATAATACTACGACTTTCTTCAAATGTCCGCATGAGTAGGCCCTTGTACCCGGCCTAGGCAAATCTTCCACAGTTGATGATAAATCGAATCGCATCGAATCGAATCAAGTGGTGTGGCTGGGTGGGGAGTGTCTCAGGTCATGCGGCAATTTTCAAACCTTCATTAATCAAGATGAATTTTTTGTCTCGGCTCACTTTAAAATTCCACAGAAGCAAATCCTTCGACGAGGGATCCAATAAACTGCAACTGCTTGCTGTCATATGCGACATGACAATGCTCTTCGTTATTGACTTGGGCTTCTAACGAGCTCCCTGGCACTTTTGACACATGGGATACCCGGCAAAGTTCTGGAAAGGCTTTTAGATTTCCATTCATTGACAGAAATTGCACACTCGGAAAAATTCAATCCACATTTTAAATAAATAATCATAAAGTTTCAACAGAAAAATTAAAAGAAAATGTAGTTTTGTGTTCAGTAAATCGTTATAGTAGCTTAACCACATTTTCTTTTTTATGTATACTGATTTTTCTCCCAGTGCCGAGCAGCTGTCAGTGCGAGATAGAGTGTAAAGTCATTTGGGATTTTCATTTCAGCCATCGACGATAGCTTAAGAAGCCAACTGCAGCTGCACCGGCTTATAGCTATGCCACCTGAAATGGTTATCTCTTTTTTTTTTTCTTACCCAAGTCAGCTTATGTGTTGACACTAATTAATGCTGGGGAATTTGCCCTAGACCCCTAACCGACCCTCGATCGGGTGGCGAATGTTCGTGTGCGGTTGCGGCAACACTTTGGCCAACCCAATGGCAAATAATAAAAGGCAACTCATAATCGTCTCATAAAAATCAGATGTGCTCACGCACATTAATGCACATAGACGCCAATGGCAGCAGCATACAGTTTTGACATAGACAATGGCGGCAATGGCCGCCTGCCTCTGTGCTTCTTGGCAGTGACAGACATGGAAGTGGGACAATGCACTGGAAAAAAGGCCTAGGTGATTAATTGAATAATAAACGAAGTGATCTTAATGGTGAGGCTTTTTGACAGGGAATAACAGATACGTCCTTCAAATATCTTATTAAACAAACCCGAAACAAAAATGCAGATTAATCAAAATATAAATATTAAGATCCCCTTGATATTGACCTTATTTTGGCTCTGTGTACACTTTCGCACACTTGCCGGGGGGACTTTTATAGCGACACGTAGTCAGGCACGTTTTGAAGTGCAGGAAGCTCGTTTCTGTCTATGATAGAGCCCCGGCCAGCATCTCTCTGTGTGTGCGTCTGTGTAGTTATTACTTTTATGAAGCATGTGATTACATTTTATTTTTAATGCTTTTAGTAAAATGAGGTTAGTACACACTTGGTTAGCGACAAATTACTTTTTTTTCGCCTGCGCCCAGGACACGTTGTGGAAATTCGCGAGCATTTCCTTGGCTTTTGCATGGGATTTGTGCACACAATATTGACGCTCGCTAATTGTTGCTATCATTGGGAGATGCAGAGGCAGAGAGTACTTAAACCATCAACCTCTGCCTGCATTAAACATGTGCACAATTAACTTCCGCTTCCGGTTATGATTGAACCCAGCCATATTTGAGCCGAGCACGTACACATGTCCTATAAGCCTTGCAATAAACACGCACACACAGCAGAGGAGTGTGTGCGGTGGCTGCAGTTAACTGTTTGCATATTAACGACAAATAACCCACAATCTCGCAACCTTGCAGCAGCATTATGCATCGATGGACAAGCACGCCGAGTAAGAGATAAGCACTAGATAATGTTCCGGACCTGCCAGGGCCTAAGATACTGTAATGATGGTCCCGATGGCTTTAATTTAAAGCAGCCATAACATTTCGCAAGGCCTTGGGCATTGTTTGACCAGCTGGCATTTTGAATGGGGCAGGGGCTAAGGACAGGGTCAGGGAGATTGCATTGCTTAATATCTGCGGGACATTTGCAAAGCAATTCGAGCCAATGATCACAGGCCGCGATGCTGGGCATTCCAATTAACTTAATGAGAGCTAAAGTCGGTAGTTTCTCGGCCAATTTAAATAAAACTATTCAACAACAAATATTTATTTTGAGTCTCCATTAGTTTTTCGTTTAAAATAAACCTAAATAAAATTATCTTTGCATCACTCTTTTTATTGAAAAAATCATTCAAATCACTAGTCAAACCAAGCAAATAACTAACATTATTTCAGAGAACAAATAACAAAATTAAAAATTATATATAAAAAAAAGGAAAATCAAACAATTAAAATCTTCTCATCAAACATTAACGCAGTTATTAATTGTTGATCAATCATATGAAAATTTATAAACGTCATTAAAAGTAAACAAAAACGGTAACCAATATTGACATTAATGCACAAACTGATTTAAATTCAACAGATGTAGCTCATAACATAACTTCCCCCTGGCCACAAAAAATAGGAAAGAAAAAAAGCATTGCGCAAACTTTTCATAATCAGTTGATTTGTTCAACGATTTGCAGTAATTAAAACAATAATCCTGCCAATGCCCCGGGCGAAACTGACCTAACCAGGTCAACCAGCGAATTGAACCATGCCAATTGGCTGAAGGATTTGGCATATTTATGGATTTTTACGTAAAGGAGTGCCAGTTGGGCCGGCATTTGAGGATTTCACTGTTGAGCCTTGCTGGCTAGGCCGGCTCTCAAAAGCTCTTCGAGACCCGGATCCGGATCAGCTTCCTGCCTCCTTGTCGGCATTGGACTCCGGCCAACCGAACTGGGTGGAAATAATAAACAAATCGAGAAGGCCCAAATGTTGACCAATATTTCAGCAACGATCCTTACCACTCCTTACCCACCCGGACTGCCATAAATTATGAGGGCAGGGGGCTCAGCAGCTCCAGCACCTGATTTGTTTATTTGTGGCACACATTTTTCACATTTTCCGTCTGTTGACATCGCACATTCCAATGCCGGTGCTCGGTGGCGTCACATGGACAGATTTTTAAGCCCGGTCGGTCGGTGAATGAAGCTGACAAAGTGCCGGAGGGAATCCAAAGCCGAAGCCAAATCCATTGACATGTGATAGTATTTGCCGAGCACAAACAAAAAGAGCATGCAAAACATTTAATTGCTGTGCAAATATCTGCTGAAGAGTGCTTAAAAATGTCTCAATACCGGCTGGGTACGAATTTAATTAGTTGCCAGGCAAACGGAGACAAAGGGGGGCTTTCCAAATACAATTTCACTTGGCTACCACATGTGGCTAACAGACATTGATGTGTTCTCCTAATCGGTATGGTTCAGGCTGTCAGGCAGCATCAGAATAGTCAAGGCCTCAAGGGTGACTAGGAAGCTGGAAGTTTGCTTTATGACATCAACTTCCCACTGTCCCCATTCACATTGTTTACGGAATGTGTGGAGTGTGGAGATCTTGGCCCACCTGCATTTTGTCACCCCTTTAAATGCCTTTGGCCAGCAAAGCGTTAACTGATCTGTGTGCCAGAGAGTCGTAAATTTCAGCGCCTGCCAACTTTTCAACAGCCACGCCCACCAGGTCTGTCTGTGGGTGGCAAGTTGCACTGAAATTTTCACACCCTCCACCCTATTTTACCCCTGCGAAAGCTTGGCTGGCCAAGAACTATTAGCATTAGCACCACTAAATAGAAAATTTGGCTCGATTCCAGACGGCACCCGCTGCCAAAACGCTTTAAATGCACTCAAGAACCGCTTTTTCCTCTCTTCACATTCAATAAGTTGGTTTTCCATTAAATATTTCCATATTTCAATGGGGCAAAGCCAAAAGTATTAATTTATTTCGAAAAACAATTCGTTTATGATTTATATAGTAGTTATTTTTTAAATCAATTCCCAACGAAATCAAGTTTGGCAATCCGGAGATACAGAGATAAAGTCAAGAGACTCATGTTTGCTTGCAAACACTCGCATGTAATTGAAAACGGATTTCTGCTCAGGCTGAAGTTGTGGTTGCAAATTGTCTTTGCCGTAGCTTGGCTTTCAAATCTAAATAAATTACTCGAAACTCTTTGATGCTAATTAAAAAAAGCTTTTCAAAAGATTAAGGATTCCAATTCCAGCTGCATTTCGGGCTGTGTAAATGAAAGCACTCAAAGGCCAGAGCCAAGACCGGACTAATTCGTGTGCGGGCAAGCCATTTGGCAAACATTGAATGGCTTGTCTTGAGATAAAAGTAAAGCATCTCTCAGCTCGGCTCCTTGGAGGCCAGGATGCCTTCAAGGACATGGGCAACCGCTCAAT